CTGGTGCCCGCCGGCCGGCAGCAGCACTGCACGCAGGTGCGGACCCGGCGGCTAATGAAGGAGCTGCAGGACATCGCGCGGCTCAGCGACCGCTTCATCTCGGTGGAGCTGGTGGACGAGAGCCTCTTCGACTGGAACGTGAAGCTGCACCAGGTGGACAAGGACTCGGTGCTGTGGCAGGACATGAAGGAGACCAACACGGAGTACATCCTGCTCAACCTCACCTTCCCCGACAACTTCCCCTTCTCGCCGCCCTTCATGAGGGTGCTTAGCCCCCGCCTGGAGAACGGCTACGTCCTGGACGGCGGGGCCATCTGTATGGAGCTGCTCACACCCCGCGGCTGGTCCAGCGCCTACACCGTGGAGGCCGTTATGAGGCAGTTCGCCGCCAGCCTCGTCAAGGGGCAGGTAGGGCTCCCTGCTCGGGGAGAAGCACACGCATCCATCGCTCGGGGTGCGGGTCTGAGTGCTGTTCGGGTGGGAACCCCAAAGGCGACCAGGCCCGGTCTCCCCGAGGACCTGGTGTCAAAAGTGGAGCGAAGGCAGGGACACACGTGTTTGGCTCCGGGATCCGTTCTCGGGCCGGTGGGGCAGAGGTGCAGGGCAGCTTGGAGGGACGAGAAGCACATGCATCCATCGTGTCCTCCCGCCTGGCTTTTGTCCCTGTCCCTCATAAGCTCTGCCGCTTATGGCACACCAAGATACCGTGCTTGTTACCCCTGATAGGCACCTCCTTCACCCCACAACAAAAGAGGGCTCTCCGGGCTCCAGTGGGGTTTGGGATTGGAGCCTCCTGCCTCCCGCTCTTCACCAAGCAGTCGGCCATACTCGCTGGTCCCTTGCGTGCAGTGCTGCAGCTGGCGGAGGGCGCGACGCTGGAGCTGCTGCCCCCAGGTCTTTGTGCTGTCCGGCATAGCATCCCTCCGGGGAGAAGGGGCGATCCCGGCTTTGGGGCTTGGCAGACTGCGCTGAGGTATGTCGCGGAGTCACACCGGGAGTCGTTGCCCGAGCTGCTGGCAAACTTGTACAGGTTTCAAATCGTCCGGTCCGAAAGGAACAAATTGTTTGGGCTAGGTACTGCAGCTGCAGCAGCCAGAAGGTTCCTACCAGTTCTCCTCTTAAAAGGAGATGATCGCTTCTCCCGGCAGAGGATCTCGTCTGGCCTGAGTTTTATGCTGGTTTGTTTTGGGGTTTTTTCCCCTTTTTCTCCTGCAGAATATCCGCAGGAGAGAAATACTTCATAACCCATTCTTAACAAATGCGCAAGTATTGCTGGCTTTATGCCTTACATTACGCTTTATATTATGGCAGGCAATGCACACATGGCTATGACAGAGTAGTTTTCCTGTTTGTGAATGCCCTTGAAGTTGGGGGACATGCGCAGCTCCATGTCTGTCAGTAAATTATACTAAGTAACTTCTTCGATTTGTCTTCGCACGGAGGTGGGAAAAGAGAAAATAATAACATACTTTTTATTTGCTGAAAAATGAGGTTAGTCCTGTTGCTCCTGTGTAACTGCTTGCCTGAGCAGAAGTAAAGGTTTCTTTCTTCTTAAGACTGAAATTAATTTTGATTTTTCAACAGGCTCTTTTGTAAGTGGCTTGTACTCCTTTTAGCCTATTTGATTTGGGCCTACTGCTCCTTTTTTAAATCAGATAGTGTTTTTCTCTGCACTTTATTTCAAGAGGTCAAGCTTCCTAGGTCACCTTGGGATATAAAAAAAACATCTACCAAAGGGAAAAAAAAGATAAAAATTTAATTAACATGGAGCCTGAGGTACATGGAAGTTTTGAAGCTGCTGTTAGTGCATCTTACTGTTTGTTAACCTGTCTTTTTTAGAGAGGTCATAGTTCTTGTTACTTGTTACAAGAATTTAGGAGGACAATGGTAAATTCTCCCATTTTGTAACAATTCAGCCTCTTTCTGTGGTGTTGAATGTTAAAGGGTTATATGAATATTTACTGGGATTATAAAATGGCTCAGTGAAGAGAAGCACTGAATTAATTGTTTTATTAGTAGTAATATATATTATATATAATTGTTTTATTAATAGTAAATATAATATATATAGTAGTAGTAAATTAATAGTAATAATAGTAATGAGTAGTAAATATAATATATATATTTTATAGTAGCTATATAATCTGACAATTTTCTTCTCTAAGCCACTTAAGAGATTTCCGGAAAGTAGTAGTGATTTTTGATTACCAGAGGGTATTTATGTGTGCATCATTAATAAATACATTTAAAGAGCAAGAGTGTCAATAACATTTTTCCAGAAGTTTGCAAAGTCAATTATGACAAAAAGAGAACTGGGATTTAAAAAAAGGCAGAAATAAACTGCTGACAGTAACTTAGTAGTTAAATTGATATAACATGGCACGTGTCAACCTCTCAGATTGTTCAATCCAAGTGGAAAGGTTGTTAAGCAATATGGTCAATACATTTATTTTCTGGGTTAGAGACATGTTGCCTCTGATGGATTTGCCGGTCATTCACTGTAGCTGGGCTCTGTGGGAGCCACGTTTCTGTAATTGCACTCCCCTCATTATGTAATCCCCACTCCATTGCATAATAGGGCTTAAAATACAACTGGCACTCCCCTATCCCTGTTTCATTTTACAGGTGATCTACTTTTGACCAGTTAGTTTTTAAAAAGAGAAATGTAGCTGATGGAGCATTGAGGGCTGAGGTGATGAATTCCCCAGAGCTGTATGGCCATGTTTGGGTGACTCCTGCCGTGCTGTGGGCAGTCTTGGTGCCTGCCTGCAAGGAGATGTCTTGAACAAATAGCCTGGCTTTTACCAGATTAATTGTGTAATTTCTGTAAGCAGCCTGCAACCTTGCAATGGCATGAAATACTCAAGATCCTGTTCATCAGCAAGGCTGGAAAGGTGAGAACCATCCTACATTGCCTCAGAATGAACCTGCCTGAGCAAATGGCAGCAGCTATCTGGCTGAGGGAGACATAAGGCACTGCCGCCACCAGTGAGTCAAAGGGACCTTCCAGAAAAATGTCACTGGTTCCCAGCGCCATGATTTAGCATGAGATCACTGTGAATACGCCAGCCTGTGACGCATCCAAGAGTGCACCTGGCTGGCACGGGCGCCAGTGTGAGTGGGCAGGGCTGAGCGTTCCGCTGGCACACCTTCCTCCTTGGGGCAATTCAGGGGATAGAACCAAGGTGGCTCTTTTCATGAGACATTTTTCATCAGTCCAATTTTGCTGAGCCAGCTGTGGCACTGTCATTCACTGCTGGTTCTTCAAAGAGGAACAGCACTCCTTGGTCTGCGGGTAGAGCTAGTAGTAACTGTGAGTATGTATGACCTTCTGCTTTTTGACAGAGTGATCCGAAAGCAGATAAAATTAACATTAAAAATACATTTTCAGACAGTTAAGATTCATGACAAACTCAGATGTTTTTTCATGGATTTCACAGACCTTTTAGTAGAATAGAAGAGAAATTGAGGTAAGTCATTCTGACATCTTATGGGATGTCACTCAGGAGTTGTGTCTGTACAGAAACTTAAACGTGCAACAGAGAAGTCAAGAGTTAGCACTTTTCTGTTACTTTTCAGCATTGCACTTGTAAGTAGTGAAAAGCTGCGTCCAAGTTCCCAGACCTGAGCATATCTCCTGGGGCTTGGATTTTAAAGCAGGGTGGCTGTTTCTAGATTTCACCAAGCGGGAACCATATGCCTCGGCTGACCTTGCATAAGAGATGCCCTACCTTACGGGATGTACACCCTAGCTTCCTATCATGAATCTAGCATTGTATTTTTAGACTTTTTTTTTGTCTGTAAATAAAAATTCTTAAAATGGAAGAGAAATTACTTTTTTTTGAATATAACAATTCAACAGTCAAATTTAACTTTTTTTTCCCCTCAGTTTTCAAGGAAAAAAATGTTAATTAACAAGTTGGGGTTTGTTTGGTTGGTTGCTTCAGCTATTCAGCTGAGAAAATCAATTATTCACACAGCTCTAGTCAGTATCTTGAGGGGAATTCTCAGTACATCAAAGGCCGAAGACTGTTTATCTGTCTCGGATCCAGAATCTTATTTTAAAAAACTTGGTGTTGTCCTTAACTCATCTGTAGCCTTGCTTTTAAAGGGATGACTTTGTACTTGCTTCCCGCACAGTCAGCTGCTCGTTGGCTCCTGTCATGACAGGCAAGAGCTTGGTCCTGCTGAACCGGCGAAACAGTCACCGTGTTCCGCTGTGGAGCTGGGGTGCCAGCCAGGGAGGTGGGGTGATGCTAATGAAATAATTTAAATAGCAGTTGTTTATTGTCCTGGAGGCAACTATTCAACATGTCTGTCTCTCTGTGTCTATCCAGGCCATGGAAGTGGCCCATGGAGTGTTACTTCTTCTTAGCACTTTAAAACGATTTATTGATCATTTCAGAGAGAGGTTTAAAGATTAGTTGCTCTCCACTTCCAGATAATGTCATTGTCACAATAATATCAAGGGAGGGAGGGAGGTTTTAAGAGAGGGGTGTCACAGCAGGAGGTTCATCATGGCTCTCCTTGAGTGACAATGTGCACAGATGAAACTAATGCCCATGTTTCAGGGAGGAGTCATCTCTCTCCTTTGAAAATATGGTAAATGATTTGGTCCCAATGGAAAAGGAGCAAGCTTTGTCTAAAAGAGAGGGTTTTGTGTCTTCTGATAGATGCATTGTTTCTCACTGGACAGAATGGTTTGGTGGACATTTAGAAGAGGACAGAGCTATATATGTCAGTGTCCAAGTAATGCAGCAGGGGTTTGGGTTTTTTCTTTTTTTGAGAGCAACAAACAGAGCAGCACCTGATGCCTTGGGGACTTTAGATGTAAGCTTGCAGTAGTGCTGACCACTAGATGCTTTGTCCTCTTTTTTACAAGTGCCTTGTTTTCTCCATGGAGGCTGGAGACTGGACTGCCAGACAAAGTCAGCTGTCAGGTAACTGTCAGCTCTGCAGATTGTTATGAAAAAAGGTCTTTGTTTTGAGGGAAGTTATTCTTCCAGTTCTTCCAGTGAATAGGAGGAACATAATTTTTTTTTCAGGATTCTTGCAGAGAATAGAAGAAATATAGACATTTTGCCAGGACATATTACAATATATTGAGAGACCGCCAGCTATTCACCACTCTTCACAGAAGTAAACGTGAACACTGTTTATTTCTATCTTTAGCACACCTTTTATAGGGTTTTACAGGGTCTGCAGGCAGAGCAAGCTACTATTGGCTAACACACACAGGTTTACATTTTTTCTCCTACACACAAGGATATTGTTTTGCTTTACTCTCTCTTCTGCAGGAAAGTTTCAAGGACTTTAGCCTTTAATATCACAACTTACTTCAAAGGCTGGTTTGTGTATAGAGGCCATTACTAATATATAAAATATATCAACAATAGGAACAGGATATC